CAAGTCTAGGCTTAGATGTCAAAGTGTACACTTGGATAAATAGACCTCAAAGTATAGTATAGTAATGTCATATTGGCATCAACGTCTATGCAAAGAGGTTAAATAATGTTTAGGCTAGGATGTGAATTATACGTGATGTAGACAACAGCTGTGTTTGGTATCAAATAGGCATCAACATCCAGGTTTCGATGTCAATAGACTCTAATTTAGACATATTTGAGTCTATGGACATTTTAGATTTTGTTTAAATGTCTTTTTAACCCCCCCAAAAACTGATCAGTGGATCACAACAAAAATACCTCAAAACTCTCCAGTTTATCTCAGCTTTTTAATGCAATACTAGTACTTCCCATTTTCAGCAAAATAAGTTGTTGCTGTCTTGAAAACCTATTCTCCCATATGCCACTTCTCAAATATAAAATGAAGTAATCCAATAGACTAAAACTGTTTTGTCTTTTTTTCTGGTTACCAGAGGATTCAGAACACAACAGACACCCTGCTGAATTTGACTGGACGAAACATGACGGACTTCTTGGTCAAGACCTTTGAGCACTTTGGTAAAAAAAGGTAAAACACTTGAAATGTCAATGCTGAAATAGAGCTTTTGGAATGTGCTTTATAATTATTTTTTTTTCCTGTTAGGTACTTTGGGTAGTAAATGGTGTGCCACACGTGACACAAAAATTAAAGGGGTAACAGCAGTGCAAAGTGAGAAAGGACCCAACTTTGTAATGGTGCAACTTGGTTCCTTTTGTAATTTTAAAACCATAAGCTAGGTCTCTTGGATGTATTGTTAGATATTTTGCTTAATGTATATGGTCAGAGCTTCAATTCAATTCAGTTCCAAAATACTTCATTAATTCCAAACGGAAATTAACTATTGTTGTAAACATTTCATTGAGATGTTATAGATACTGATGGCTATAGACAGGAAAGATATCTTGTAAAGCTCCGTCCCACAGTGGATCTGAAAAAACTGTCCGCATATGCCATCCAATCTATCCACGCAGACTCTGCTGGCCTCTCGGTTCCCCCGGGCTGCAAAACTGCCTGAATGCTGGGCAGAATGCCTCCCAGAGCGATGGACACTCCTTCCAGCAGCCTCCTGAACTCTTCATTGCCACGGACAGCTGGCTGCAGGTGCCTGGGGACGATTTCAGCCTCTCTGCTATCACGGGCCACGTTTTCTGCCAGTTCCAGGATCTCGGTGGTCAGACACTCGAGCACAGCTGGCAGGGAGACAAGAATGCATCCACAGCGCCTCTTTTTCAACTCATTTGAAATTTGGGGCTGTAGTTGAGATATTATGTAAGCTTTTGAGATGTTAATCAGCTGCTCCCGGTGGCAAAAAAAAACACCTTGTTGTTTTGGTTACACATCGTAACAAATGTCCAAGCATCTGATACCAGAGGAAACACTAATCCAAAAAAAAAAAAGTGATTTACATCCAGAAAAAAAAGGAATTAAAGTTTCCAAAAGCAAAATCTCCAAACATGCAGCCACCTTTAAGGCTCCAGTATACTGCCGCGTACGTCCGTTCATGCGTACGTACGCATGTACTGTACACAGAGGGTTCAGTCATTAAACTCCAGCGTACACCACGAGCAGCTACACAGCAGCTTCGCAGACAAGGGGCGTTTACCTTCGGGACAAATTCAGGTCGCCGATTGGTCATTTGCTGACACGCCTACTGGATTGATTGACAGGTCAGAAAAAAGAAAAAAAGCGAGCGCTGGCAGCCTCAGCTGCAGCGATGTTCTGTGTTTATATGTTGTTAATTAAAAGATCTAAAAAAAAAAAACAGGGAGCGCTGGCTCTACAGCCCACACATCAGACCAGCACACCAGGAAATCTCCTGACCCTCCCGCAGCCACGCTGGACCTGAGTTTAATTCGCTTGTGACAAATTCCTTAATTTCTCACCATTTCAGTCATGACATCAACGGAGGAGGAAGAGATCACTTGCCTCTTGGCAAAAAAACTAAAGAAAAGGCCAGATCAGAGACGAAGAAGGGGAATTTAATACATTGGTGTCGCATACAAAACAGTCTGTCGCTGGGCAGTTTATTGTGCGACACCGCGTATGTGGTCGTAAAAATTTGAGCTTTGCACGGACATGCCCTGGGGGGTACGCACATACTTCTGCGTACGTACCTCTGCGTATGGATGTACACGGCAGTATACTGGGGGCTTTAGAGGCGCAGTTCTAGAACTTCTCTAGAACATGTCAACTTCTAGAGCTTCTACTTACACGTAGAAGACTTTCAAACAATATAACCCACAGCTACACAACATGAACCTAACCTGTACAATAGTTTCAAGATGCACTCCATACTAGATTCCTGCTCTTTTTCCCAAGACATAAAGGGAGACATAAAGTGCTACCTTCTTATATCTCTTCCCACATGCCATGCCGTCAGTGCTGTTACAACATGCACTCTCAGTCCATCATTACCTGCAGCGTTCCCTCAGTGCAGACTGAACTTGGCAAAAAGGCCTTTTCCTACTCAGCTCCTGCAACCTGGAACACCTTGCAACAGGAACTGAAGTTGCCCACCCTAATTTCTTTAAGGGGTTTCAAACATTTGATAATGGCAATAGAAAAATCAAAGCAAATATGTCCTAGTTTTTAGTATTTTACCGTTTTACAGCACGCTGATTTATTATTTTATACACTACTCTTATTTTAACTGCATTTTTACTGTAGTTTATTGTTCTCATTGTCTACTGTTTTCTTGTCTGCACTTTATATATTCTGTCTGGAACAACTTGTTTAAATAATGGTTGAATGAATAAACTGATACTGTGGTGTAACTGGGTTTCAAAATGTTCATACTGCACCAGTTTGTCTTTGGCTGGAGTTATATTGTCCTACTTCCATCTTCTTCTTGCTCTTGTGACTTCAGGTATGGAGGGATCTCTGTTGGAGCAATCAACTCACAAGTCCGACTGACCGAAGCAGGGATCCAAGAAGTTTTGAGGGATTTAAAAGATCTATTCAATTCCTCTCAGGTATGTAGCAAATACGGACACTAGCAGATCCAATCATGTTACTACTGCTGAGTCATGTATAGTTTGGTACATCTGAGTTTAAAACCCCAGGGGTTAGTTTATGTATTGCTCCACTGCTGCAGTTTTACCAGCTATTTAAATTGAACAAGAATCACTTTTGATAACTTCCAGACTTCTATCAAGTTGAGTTTTTCCCTTAAAATTTCAAGTTGTAAATTTAAACATCTCTTACTTGCAAACATAAGAAGGCGAAAAACAGCTTATGCTACTTTTTAGTGTTGGCACAAGTGTTCTTTTGGACACAAACCAATAAAACTTTGACATGAAAGGTTGGTTTTGGACATGTAACAATCTTTTTATTAACCCCTAATGTTATATGATTTATTTCAGTGGAGTGGTACTTACTTGAAATGCTTTTGCAATAGACCTCTTGGTTTTTGCTTAGGTTTTTCGAGTGTATTTTAGACATCTACAGTGCTTTTTTAAAAACGTATTCCTCACAAAGTTAAACTAAAGATCCCACGGGGAACAATTTTTGGTTAAGTCCTTTTTTGCTCTTAGTTTGACAACAATTCGGATGTGTTGTAGTATTGGCATTCGAATGTATGCTGATGACACAGCTATTTGCCGGTCAGGTAAAACTTGTTTTGTTGTTGCAGAAAATACCTCAAACTTAGAATAAAGTATATGCATGGATTGATGCTTTATGTATTTCTAAAATAATAAAATCTGTCTGCATTTTTATATAAAAAAAAAAATCAGAATCCTCATTTATTAGAATTTAGGACAACACTCTTAAACGGATAATGAAGATTTATAGTACTGACTATAGATGATTAAAAAAGATCATCATGATCGATAATCCAGGAAAAAAATCCAACAAAGTTCAGTCCGGTCATCTTGACAGTTTCTTTTTTTGTTGTTGTTCGAGATGTTTCGTCCTTCATCCAAAGGACTTTTTCAGTCCGAAGAGCCACAAGAGTCCCACAAGCAGCACACCCACATAGTGGACCAACCAGTTTGCTGGTGATAAGATGGTTCCTGGGGCCTGCCCTCTCCTCCATCGACTCTTCTGAGGCAGCCATATCCAAAGTGGTTCAAAACATCAAAGTTTATGCTCAATAATCCAGGTAGAAAATCCAAAAAATTATGATATTTTTGGATTTTTTTAATGTTTTTGAACCACTTTGGATATGGATGCCTCAGATGAGTCGATTGAGGATCGGGCAGGCCCCAGAAACCATCTTATCACCAGCAAACTGGTTGGTCCACTATGTGGGTGTGCTGCTTGTGGGACTCAGTTTGTTGTGGCTCCTTGGACTGATGAAGTCCTTTGGATCAAGATAAAATGTCTCAACAAAAACAAAAAGAAACAGTCCAGATGACCTGACTGAACTTTGTTAGATGATTAAAACAGGTTTCCCAAGGTTTTTTTTTTTCACAACATAGCTACAGAGACTAGAAGTAGAAAGTTATTTTTTATTTTCTTCATAATGATGTTAACATAACTTATTCTCAGAATAATGAGCCAAAAATCAGTCAGGTGTGTAGTGAAGTTTGGTTTAAATTGTGTCTACTTAAGTCGGAATAATAAGTGACTTAAAGAACAAAACCTGTCTCCATTTTTTTAATAAACAGGTCAGTGTTCAGTGCAGTAGATCAAGAGCAAGTACTGGTTTTGAGCTTCAAATTTCTACCTTTTTCGTGTGTTTAAATTTCTATAATTTGATCAATCAGTAACCTAAAACTGACTAAATGGAGTTCTTTCAAAGACAAGTTAGGAAAAAAAAAATAACCGAAATGTTATAAATGAATAGGGAATGATTAAATTAATAAATTAAAGTGAAAGTGTAATCACAGGGGACCTTGTATTCACTGTTAAAGGTTTAAACAAGTTCTGCAAAGCAGAGAAATATTTCAGAATCTTTTCAAAGCTGCAGCTCACAGAAAGTCATCGAGTTCATCCTTCCAGATTAAAAACCTGCATTCTTTTTCCATCTAGTTTTGTATCCCGGATGCAAGGGCTCCTATTTGTTGTGAACCTTTTCACCTCGCCTAATTGAAGGGCAATCAGAAACTAAAATCGGTGGGAAAGGATTTAAATTGTTCAAATCCATTTTCGTGTCTCCTTAGCAACAGGCTACAAATGTTTGTTTCGTTGCTTTGCAAGAATTCAGATATCCAAATCTTCAGATACTCCAAGTAATGCATTGACTTGTTTTCACCAACACATAGCTTGTTTTTCTCAAAGGAACGTCCCGTTTTGCAAAATAAATGAAGCCATGTTTGTCTGGAACCGCTCACGATATCAAGATGATCAAAATGTTGTTTATAAAGCTAGGAATCTGAAAGTTTATTTTGCCAAAATATGATTTAATCTGTAATTTGATGTGATGGGTCACATTTATCTGTACATGTATGTGTTTTTCTAAGTACAAATAGTTTTGGTTATTTGAAGTGGGGTTTTGTGAAGAAGTCAACATTCAATGTCTTACCTGTTGTAGAATGACCTTGGTTTGAATAAATGGAGTTTAATTCTGACTGGATTGGCAAACTAATGTCTAGTTCATGTGAGGCCAAGACCAAAGTGTCTCTCCAAGCTGCCCAGAAATTACACTATTGCTCTAAACTGATGTCCTTCAAAACGCCATCTATAAGTAAGATAGTTGTTTCTTTATCATGAGGTTCCACAGAACCTCAGTGTAAACGATCATATTAAGTGCTGTGCTTTTTGAACCTCTTCTCATTTGTCCGTTCTTCTTGTCTCAGTCTTTTATCCTTCAGCGTGTCTCTTTCTGGCAAACACTCATTAACATTTCAAATGTTGGACGTTCATCTACTTTGAGATCAGTATGTTGCTCTGCCCCTCAGGCAACTCCCGCCTCGTCCCTACCCATGCTCCCCTCTGTGTCTCCTGGATCTCGATGCTAATGTGACTTTAATTTGAGCAGCAGAAATGATGTAACCCTAATGGCCGGGCATTAGCCGTCCCAGCTCTGCAGTCCTTGTTATTAACATCCTACACTGTCCTTGGGAGATTTCTGACTCTGCTGCTGCTGCTGCTCTGTAGGCATTGTGATGTGAGATGGTAACTGGAAATAGGTAGCTTGTTTTTTTTGTTTGTTTGTTTTTTGCGCTTCAAGCCGTTGTTGATGAGATGGAAGTGGGCACTGAAATGTTTGTCTAATTGCATTTCCCGTGTCTATCAGGTAGAAATGGAGTTATGTGGAGCAAGAGGTGATGGGAATGGCAGGAACCACAGAGGCTGAGTGCTGAAAATGATATGATTAGGCTACAAAAGGCGCCGAGATGAAAATGATGTCACAGTCTGATTGTTTGTGTGCATGTGTTGCTTTAGCAAAATCTCATGGGCTTGATGGTTCAGAAAGTAGTCACTGGATGAATATCTACAACCGAGTCACTTTTGGAGTCAACCCAATTCAAGATGGCTGCCACAGCTGAATTACCTTAGCCAACTCAAGAATAGCTATAACTCAGTCAATTTTACAGCCATTGAGCTAAAATTTGGTGTGGTAGTATAGCTGAGAGTCATTCTCAACACAAACTCCAAGCACTAAGGGATTTTGCGATATAGCATGTGATCTCACTGATGAGGTTGTAACGCCATTCTTTCTCAAAATAAGATATTATTCTAAACTCTGGCATTGAAGATGGTGGGGCTATACATCCAATTAAGAATGATTAGGATTTAATTTCCAGAAATGTATTTGTCAACTTTTTAAGCAACATTTTCCCATTCCTCTTCTTCTTTCAGCTGTTCCCTCTTCAGGTGTTTCCACAGCGAGTCATCCTCCTCCATCTCACTCTGTCCTCTTCATCCTCTGTTCTCACTCCCATCTAACTCCATGTCCTCTCTAACTGCATCCATATATCTCCTCTTTGTCTTTTTCCTGGCAGCTGCTTTTCTATCATCCTTCTACCAATATACCCACTGTCCCTCCTCTGGACATGTCCAAACCATCTCAGTCTGGTCTCTCTAACTTTATCTCCCAGTTGTTCAACCTGTGCTGTACCTCTGATGATCTCATTCCTAATCTTATCTGTCCTTGTCACTCCCAAGGAGAACCTCAACATCATTTCTGCCACTTCCAGTTCTTTTTTCCATCATTTTCTCAATGCCACTTTCTCCAGACCATACAACATAGCTGGTCTCACCACTGTTTTCTAAACTTTTCCATTGACCTTTGATGCCACCCTTTTGTCGCAAATTACTCCTGAAACTTTTCTCCGTCCACTCCGTCCTGCCTGGACTCTCTTCTTCTTCTAAAGTAACCTTTTCAGAACTTCAGCATTTGATGAACTTGAACTACGTCCTTGCAGGTTTAACAGGGTTGAGTCAGGTCCTCTGGACGGATTCTTCTTTGTTGAAACATTTCAAAATACTCCAAAAGACATCTTCAGTCTGAGGAGTTCTAATAAACTCAGTCTTATAAGAAGCACCTTCTCATAGTGGATCGACCAATTTGCTGCTGACAGCTAAACTAGTTGTTCACATGCAAAAAGGAGGACCATCTGCCTAACGAACGATTGTTAGTACCATGATGGCCGTTTGCTATTCACAGAGAGCTGAGTGACATTTGCAATAACAACATTGTAAGAGGGGGATAGTTGAACATGGAGGCCTTAGCCCTTCTGGCCTGCAGATGAGTGTAGACTGCAGAATCCTGGCCTAATGATGTTGCTCTTCTGTGCTGGATCATCCTTTTGGCCAGTGGTTGTTTAGTTTCCCCGATGTATGACTGATCACAGCCCGCCTTGCACTTAAGAGCATTCACAATATTACTCAGTTTGTGCCAGGGGACGGGATCTTTGGGATGAACCAGTTTAGGGTGATGGTCCTCTTTTTGCATGTTACAACTAGGGATGTGTGATATGGCATAAAATTCACATCCTGATATTTATTGTGATGAGTGGCGGTAATAATATATATCATGATATGATTTTGGTATAAAACTTGCAATAGGAATGAAAAAAAAGCA